CGGATTTACTGTTAGCCGGAGTTACCCACAGCTCATTGATCTGAGGCTATGTGTAGATATTGCATGCTGATGTTTGGCGTTGGGCCCAGGGCCTGTTTACGAGTCAATTTTGTTACCCACGGCTGCGCTCCCAAATATATGGCATCGCAGTTAAATTGACGAAATGTTATGAAAGAGATAACGAAGGTCTGTTGACAGCCTAATGAGTGCCTATTGACAGCACAGTGACCGTATATTGACCGCCTCTTGACGCTTAGTGACATCCTTTTGACCATCTATTGACAGCCTAGTGCCAGCCTATAGGGTACTTGTACAGGGGACAGTACTGGCGGCAAGTAGATCAGAAAAATGCCGAATATCTGCCGCTTGTTGTATATCCCGCAAGTAAGCTTAGACGCGAGACAAGTTTAAGGTGCCACCGTGCCGGTATTTAGTGCCTACCGGCACGGCGGCACCTTAAACTTGCCACGTGTCTAAGCGTCCTTGCGGAATAGACACCAAGCAGCAGACATTTGGCACCTTTCCGATCTACTTGCCGCCAGTACTGTCCCCGTGTACAAGCACCTATAGGCCGCCAGGCACGCTACTACCTTGAAGTTAGCCAGGGCGCTGTAGAGGCTGGCGGCGGCCGCCGTGAGGGGCTTGGCTCTGTCGTCCACGACCTCCGTGGTGACGCCGCCCCCGCCGCTGCTCTCCAGAGGTGCCGAGGTCTTGCTCTCCCCGCAGCTCACCTGTCAGCACAAGACGAGGTCAGCACAACACGACGTCAGCACATGACGAGGTCAGCACAAGACAAGGTCAGCACAACGCGAGGTCAGCACAAGACGAGGTCAGCACAACATGAGGTCAGCACAACATGAGGTCAGCACAAGACGAGGTCAGGACAAGACGAGGTCAGCACAACACAAAGTCAAATCTTCAAGTCAAACAACTAGGAGACTAAAAATATTAGAAATAGAAATGTTAAAACCAAATTTCATTTATATTTTTCACTACTTATGGCACTTTTCTGGTGCATTCTCACATTATTTTATTAAGACACGGAATGATATATGGACCAGGAATGAATGATTTTGCTTGCAGTCAGTTCCTCCTGAGACTATCCGTGACTGAAGAAGGCTTGGCGCGTGTATCCTTGTGGTTAGTTTATTTGTAAACATTTGTACTTACTCGACCATACAGAAGTCATGACTGAATGTCTTGTCTCTATGCAGACAATAATATAGTCAAATACAGCTTATTACTAGAGCTTTATATTCTTGTGGCATCCACTTAAGTAATACAAGTGCTCATATCCACCTACCGTGGTACACCATGCACTAGAGGGTAGGGTCTAGAGCTGCTGGTCGGTTAGACCATGCACTAGAGGGTAGTGTCTAGAGCTGCTGGTCGGTTAGACCATGCACTAGAGGGTAGGGTCNTGCCCTGTGTACATGTGTACTATACAACACGCTGCACACCGTGCCCTGTGTACATGTGTACTATACAACACGCTGCACACCGTGCCCTGTGTACATGTGTACTATACAACACGCTGCACACCGTGCCCTGTGTACATGTGTACTATACAACACGCTGCACACCGTGCCCTGTGTACATGTGTACTATACAACACGCTGCACACCGTGCCCTGTGTACATGTGTACTATACAACCTGTCTCTTATACACATCTAGATGTGTATAAGAGACAGGTGCTGGACTCACCTGGGCGAGGGCAGTGAGCCAGTAATGCTGCTGGTCCGTACAGACGCGGCTACGCAGGCTGCTGTACACGCTGCCGGCCACCTCGTGGTGCCCATATCTGCCACACATACACAATAATCTTAATTTTATGTCAAAGAATTAACTACCTACATGCGCTGATAAAAATACTTGTAATATAAAAGAATTACCTACATGCACTGATAAAACTACTTGTAATATAAAATAATTACCTATATGCGCTGATAAAAATACTTGTTATATCAAAGAATTACCTATATGCGCTGATAAAAATACTTGTTATATCAAAGAATTACCTATATGCAATGATAAAAATACTTGTAATATCAAAGAATTACCTATATGCAATGATAAAAATACTTGTTATATCAAAGAATAAGCTACATGCACTGTTAAAAATGGTGTCTCATTCTGACGGCTGTAATGTTAATAAATGACCTGTCGAACAACCGTGAAATTTAATCAGTAAAAACGTTTTGTAAAGAAAATTTAACGTGGCTTTTGAAGAAAATTTAACATTACAATTTTCATTGATAGGAGTTAAATCTTAAGTGATCAAAATCAGCATCTTGAGAATGGGATGTGGCTTAAATCCAAATTTTGATCGTTAAATAACCAAGTTACACTTCAAAACATGACTGCTCATTTCAATATAAGTTTAATAATTTCTTAACAAACACTATGACATTTAATATGAAACCCAGAGAAAGAAAATACGACGATGGCATGACTGACCTGGCATGCTACTGTTAACTGGATACTGACTGATGGCACTAACTGGATACTGACTGATGGCACTAACTGGATACTGACTGATGGCACTAACTGGATACTGACTGATGGCACTAACTGGATACTGACTGATGGCACTAACTGGATACTGACTGATGGCACTAACTGGATACTGACTGATGGCACTAACTGGATACTGACTGATGGCACTAACTGGATACTGACTGATGGCACTAACTGGATACTGACTGATGGCACTAACTGGATACTGACTGATGGCACTAACTGGATACTGACTGATGGCACTAACTGGATACTGACTGATGGCACTAACTGGATACTGACTGATGGCACTAACTGGATACTGACTGATGGCACTAACTGGATACTGACTGATGGCACTAACTGGATACTGACTGATGGCACTAACTGGATACTGACTGATGGCACTAACTGGATACTGACTGATGGCACTAACTGGATACTGACTGATGGCACTAACTGGATACTGACTGATGGCACTAACTGGATACTGACTGATGGCACTAACTGGATACTGACTGATGGCACTAACTGGATACTGACTGATGGCACTAACTGGATACTGACTGATGGCACTAACTGGATACTGACTGATGGCACTAACTGGATACTGACTGATGGCACTAACTGGATACTGACTGATGGCACTAACTGGATACTGACTGATGGCACNTCATGAGAGAGGGTAGTATCATGAGAGAGGGTAGTGTCATGAGAGAGGGTAGTATCATGAGAGAGGGTAGTGTCTGTCTCTTATACACATCTAGATGTGTATAAGAGACAGAGGTACGCCTCACCTGTGAGGCAGCGATGGCAGGAGGCGGGGAGGTACGCCTCACCTGTGAGGCAGCGATGGCAGGAGGCGGGGAGGTACGCATGCTCTGGCAGGTGGTGACCAGTTGGCTGTGCAGCGTCAGGGATGCTGCACGCAGCCTCGTGTAGTGCTGCACGAACACCAGCGGCTGCTGCACCGTGCTGCATGCCTGCGCACAAAAAACACATTATACTGTGTGTGTTGTGGTGACTGCTGCTGCACATACACCAACACAAGACTTCAAAACTAATTTCAAAACAATATTTTTTTTAACTAATGTCACAACAATATATATTTTGACTAATTGTTTTGAAGTAATGTGAAAACAATATTTGTTTGAACAAATTGTTTTGAAAAAAGCATTGATTATGGGAGGCATCATGTAGTGAAGGCCTGGAATGTTCAGATTTTTCATCAAGTTGAGAATCATTTAAATCTTGATTATGTTGAAAAATAATGTCAATGCATCCGATACAATTACAAACCTAACCTAATATACACAACACGATATATTGTGTGTTGTATTGACTGCTGTACCACATCACCAGTAAATTGTAGTCAAGTAAGGATCTTACCAAACCCAATAAATACATACAATTTTATCCAATTAATTATTAATAAATTCCTTAAATTTCATTCATTGATGGCGATGCTTTAATCTAATTAATAAATTTAAAACTGGATGTTAAAATTTAGTAAGTGGCCTCAAACAAAATTGACTCTTTCTCTTCAAGTCTTTAAATAATGGAATAATCGATACACCTTCACTTAATTTTGATGATTTTGCATAAAAGCTTGATAGTTACCCTACATAATAAAATAAAATTTGACTGAGGCCAGAATGAACAGACCTTGTGACATGATGGAAGCTAGGTCAACAGACTTTGTTTGATGTTGTCATGTATAAATTCAACCACTTGATAATCTGGCTCTTTAAATATATTGATATCTTGGAATTCTCCACAAAAAAAGACTGGCAATGAAAAAGCAAGATTAAACAGTCTAGGTATGTATCGTTTTTAACGACAAAACGCACTCAGTTATGCAAATGACATAACGCACTCAGTTTAAATATTTCTTTCTGCTGGCGGATTTTTTCTGCACACTAAGTTTTGCACTGAAAGAGTAGGTTTTTGGAATTGTGCATAATTTAGGTTCCTAGTTAGCAGCCCTCGTTAGTAGTAGCAATGCAAGCCTGGAAATTACTGAACATATACCATGGTAGAAGCCTCGGTATTCAAAGTGCTTAGTCCAATTTTTCAAAAGTTATGGTAAAAAACTGAAGATTGTTTCTTAACTGAAAAAACTGAAGATTATTTTTTTTAACTATAAAGTCATATCTAACCAATAGGGAACAATATGTTTCATTGTGCGAGTACAAATTCGCCCTCAAGACCAATCACGATTGGAGTACCCCAGGGCTCTGTTCTGGGTCCTCTTCTTTTTAATATTTTCATAAATGATATCGCCTCTTCTTTTAATGCAAACTGCAAGCTTTTTGCTGATGATGCCGTTTTTTATATCTCGAAAGGTACCAACGATGAAGCATGTGATAGCATTTCGGATCTGTCAACAGACTTGTCAAAATGGCTGTTAGTAAATAAGTTAGTGGCACACGCCGATAAAATTAAACTGATGCTTTTTACGTCTAGACCTGTTGTCGCCCCTCGGAACATCACTTTTAATGGATCAATTTTGGAATGGGTTGACGATTTTCGTTATTTAGGCTTAATCCTTGACAATAAAATGTCTTTTAAAAAACATATTACTTCCGTTTGCCAGGGACTTAGCAAAGCCCATGGAGTGTTACATGCTCTATCAAGTATCTGCCTTTCTCCTCGTTAAGAACGCTCTTCTATTCGTTGTTTTTATCTAAATTTTCTAATACCCTTGTAATATGGGGTGGAGTGCCTATCCGTACAAAAAACCGGTTATTACGTTGATGAACAAGACACTGCGGTCAATACTTAGGGTTCGATATGTTAACTATGTACCATTGATTCGTACTACTGAATTATATAGACAGTCAAAAATTCTGAAATTCGACGACATGTACAAATTTAAGCTTTTACAGTTTATGAATAGGGCACTTTTTTCATGATCAGCGTCTTTTTGAAAGTTTTTTTGCTCCTCTTGTTCCTCATCATTTCCATGATACCAGAGGCGTTCGTCTCAACCTTCCACCGGTCCGTTTAGAAATAGAGAAAAATGGTACTGTTTTTAATTGTGTAAAACATTTTAATGATTTTTTAATCTGTACAGAAAACTATGTTAGATGCAAAATGTCAGAGTTGTAGCTTAGAAGCCTATTGCATAGATACACCTTGTGATATGTTTAGGATTTTTTAATTATTCATGGTATAGATGCTACGGGCTTGTTAGTGATTTCGGTCCTGTCTTACCCCATCTGACTATATACTAGGGGATGGGCAGGGACAGGCGACAGCCATGTGGTAAATTGGGACAGCCCTCTTGACATTTTGTAGAAATGTTGAAGCAGCTAAACTAATTGAATTTTAAAATCCAGCAAAACTAAAAATAGTGGTATAAACTATAAAATTTGCCTATACATGCATGCATGCATGTATGTATAACATTTTTAGCCACTAACCATCATTAGATTCCTGCCACCTTGTCTGTTGCACACGATTGATTATGCATGCTTGTATGTATAATCAATCGTGTGCAACAGACAAGGTGGCGGGAATCTAATGATGGCTAGTGGCTGGTTAGTTCTCATTACACAACCGGTGGCCCACCGGTTGTGTAATGAGAACTAACCAGCCACCGGCGGTGGGTGAGGTAACTACAGCGCATTAACTGCAGATAAAGCTCCCGAACTTTGAGACAATAATTGAGTGAAAACTTTAGGTGATATATTGTGAGCCTTCCAAAGTTTTAATAATGAAGAAATCACAAGGTTCATGGAATCTAGAGGTTTGAATGCTAAATTTATTAGTACTCTAATCTAGTCGGTCAACTGAGTTATGCAAGTGTCATGTCGTGCATTGCCTTTTCTTCAATAAGTTTCTTTAATTGCCGATGAGTTTCTCCTCAATTGGAAAGCTGACGTAACAAATAGGTGCAATAAATGTTTTTTTATATTTAATTTGAAACAATTATGTTACGAGTAAATAGTATTTCGTTCTGTAGATCCCTCTTGCACATCTGTGAGTGACATGCACAATTAACAATGTTGGGAGTGGGACATTCTCTGTGTTGCCTGAAGTAACATTCATGCCAAAACTGATTTCTGATGGCCTGCAAACCTGTTTCTAGTTGTCTGGAATGTTTTTTTAAGTGAACCACAAATCTTAGAATTCCATCCTGCTGCCTGCTACTATTGGAACAAGCGCTCCTATTTTTGGCAACCGCGCTTCTCAATTACATAGGTACATGGACATTCAGAATGCATTTAGAAAGCCACCATGACTCCAAGCCAAAGATGTCTGGGCAATAAAATGGATGCATCAAGCACCCAAGGTCACAGTCAGGATACTTTTTACATGCTCCAAAGTGTGAACCTCCAAAAAAGTTAGTTGGAAATGCCAATTTTCAATCAAATGCAACTGGCAAGCCCATGCAAAATGAGTCAACATGCTGAATCATGTGAATGGCTGTCATGTGACTCAACTCAACTCCTTTGTGACTCCTTTGGGGGTCAGCCCCTCTAAAGGTCAGCGGTCTGGCCAGTAAAGTACCAGTGCTTGAAACCAAGCAAAACAAACTCAGGGGAACAAACAGAGGAAGAACCAAGCAAAAATAGATTAAATGAACTCCATGGTTTATGAAGATGAGAGGTGAAAATTAGTTTGTTAGAAATGAGACAGCCCAGGGCTATGAATGATGAGAACAAAATGACCAGCAGTCCACACACTACATATGAATGATAACAAAAATAACCAGCCCACACTGGATTGAACAGAACAGAGTAAACAGAGATAACTGGTAAAAAAATGGGGCCAGGATAAGAAGGAGTTAACTAAATCAAATCAAAATAACTAAAGAGAAATAAAGTTCTTGAGAATTGGTCCTGGGTCTGGCCTAGTCGCGTCCAACAGGCAATGTTTGTAATGAGGAGAAAACGAGAAGGCAGTTGTCTTGTGAGAAGTAGTGGGGGAGACTCCACTGGCAGGGCACAGGAATAGTCTCTACTCTCTAGACTACCCTGACTGGTATGGGAGAGGCCCAAGCCCTTGTCCCCAGCTCAGCGTGGGATCCACTAATTAACTCCAACCTTGCCCTGAACACGCTCCAAATTGGCTGCTCTGCTAAAGTGCAGGACCTACACATAAGACCTACTCAACAATAAAACACTTGAAACACATAAGTACTCTTGAAATACATAAATACACATTGAAACTACTACTAAACTGTAGAACAATTTAAAGGGATGATTCATGATATTTACAAACATTTACTAATAAAATTTAAGACTGAGGTGCATGGCAAGAGTGTTCCCTTGACTCACCTATAAAGATCCATGATAATCTTGGGGTGGATTAGTGACAGATTGGCAGGCAGTAGTCAGGGACAGAAAGCATGTTCATTTACAGCAGGTCAGTCAGCATGGGTGAGTACCTAGCTGGTCAGTACCATGAGTGCAAGATATGCAGGATGATGGAAAACTGACTTGCTCTAAAACACGGCTTCACATTCACATGCACTAATTTAACTTTAACTAGCTGTCACTTGTTTAGTATTAATGCACTGGGGACACAAAAAAGGTACATCTACTAGGGCACATTTACAGTACCTATGTTTTATGATCTTTTTTTTTTTTATAGTGAATTCACTTGACCCAATTAAAATGGTGTGAAATTACAAGCTATCCTGTAAGCTTACAGATATATATATGTACAGAACTAACAGTACTATGGTCTACACCGCCATCTCTGCGTGAACAAGCTGAACTTCTTTGACCAGTAATCAATAGGTTGCCAAATTATTCAATTATAATTATAGTCAAATGGGGTAAGACAGGATTGCAGCCTTCATGGGGTAAGAAAGGACCGGCCCATGGCATGCATTCTATTTGCACTGAATTTAATTTGACAAAAGAATATGTTAGAGCAATCATTGCCTGTCATTTCAGTGCATGTTTCAACAGACTTCTGCAAATAATGAATTTCTGGCTAATTTTCAAAGAAAACCTATGTAAAGAAGGGTCACAAAATAGTTAACCCTGTTTGGGAAATAAGCTCTGTCTAATGAAAAAAAATTTTTTGGCCAGGTTTGTGTATGTAGGCTGGTAACCTCAAGTAATAAGCAACTTTTGAGACATACTAGGCATTCCTACCTGCTACCATCACTGCCTGACAACTATTCTAAAATGGGGTAAAAAAGGACCAGACATGGGGTAAGACGGGACCACTAAATGATCCTGTTTTGCCCTACAAGTGGTCCTATCTTACCCCATAAATGGTCCTGTCTTACCCCACAAATGGTCCTCTTTTACCCCATAGTTTATCAAAAATAGCTTTTAAATGAATATAGTATTGTGCATAAGTATACATGGAGTATTTTGGTCAAAATTTTCATCTTTTGCTTAAAATAACCATTCTAACTTGTTAGCTTTTTTAAAAAGATAAATTTAGCATACTATTGTGAATTGCATCATGGGGATGGAGAAAATAGGGATGTCGCTTCCCATTAGTGAGCTGCAGAACAATGTGCAAGAGTGGTCGGGGGAAAAATCATTGCGTGAAACATAAAAAATAATTATCACAATTTTGTGAGAGGGCATGGGCTATGTTTGAAGAAGTTCACCACAAATGCAGTTAGCAAGAAAACACATGACGTCTGACTCTTAAGTGATTATCCATTGGTTTTATTACCTATTTGGTAAATTTTCAGACAATGACACTAATGGAATATACATGTAGCATTTGGCAGTGCTCTCCAATGAATCAAAGCCAACCCACTATTTCTATTCTTAACAAAGTTTTCTCATGGCAAAAACTCCAATGTGACTGATATTAGAGTTGACTTCCCGCAACACAAAACAGTAACAAGTGGTTGTTTAATCAAATAATGTGTTTTTAGATAGATAATATTGAATATCAGATTTATATTTTTACTAAAAACCTTGTTACATAAGAATTACCTGTTGGTCCTTTCTTACTCCAGCCTGGTCCCATCTTACCCCAATGGGGTAAGATGGGACCAGCTCACTTTTTTTAATCTGTACAGAAAACTGTGTTGTATGCAAAAAGTCTGAGTTGTAGCTTTGAAGCCCATTGCATAACCACACCTTGTGATAAGTTTAGGATTTTTTAGTTATTCATGGTATAGATGCTACATGCCTGTTAGTGATTTTGGTCCTGTCTTACCCCATCTGACTATATACTAAATTGTAATATATTATATTATCTTTTTTTTGCACATAGTACCAGCTGATGATAGCCAATTTCATGTACATTGTATAATATAATTTTACTCCCACAGACAACATAATTCAAGAGTGCAACTCAACCACTGCAAAATTTTATTAAATAATGGTTTTGTGAAAGAGAGACATTCATTCAGTGTCTCTTACCCTCATTTTTTTCCCTATGAACAGTGCTCTCCATGGCGGAATCGCTCATGCTGCACACAAGAAACTGCCAGAGCTATACACGAGTCAAGCCATCACCCATTGGACTACGACCATTGCAAGAGTAGAAGGACGCTCTCCAAAGATTGCCGCCGACATTTCACCCAAGATGACTGTTTCTATGAGTGTTCACCTAATGTTGGACCTTGGGTAGTCAAGGTGAGATTTTTCATTTTCTGATGTGTTCTTTGGTTTATTTTTGTGTGTTCTAGTCTATGGTTGAGTGTGACAACAAAACTTGTACCATGAAACATTGTAGGCTGCTTGTTTATTCATGTGTTTCTGTTATATGCATCATTTTAATGTGTGGTTCCAGGTTATACAGTACCTATTGGTATGTACATAATGCAAGTATGTAATTGCACTATTATGGAATAATAGTGCAATTGCAATAGTATGTAATTGAACTGAGAAATGCACCATTAACTACATAATATTCAAGTATTGGATATGATCAACTCCTATTCTTGAAACGAGTCTAGGTCTAGATTTCAAACTCTTGTCCAATTTTTACTATTATTGTGGAAAAGAAAGATTATAACCCAAGTAGCAGCTGTGGTACAATTGGCAGCAATTCATATTCTTTGCTTTCAGCCTTTTTTCTTAAATAAAAAATTGGATAGTTTCCAATAGTAAAGCAGTTATATCAGCACCTTTTCCTGAATTGATATCACAGTATGTAAGCAGACTTTATTGTGGCATTTCAAGATGCATTTTTTTGCACAGGATAACGAGCGCCCATGGCGTACAGAGCGTTTCTATGGCGTGCCTCTCTGTGCCAGTGACTGTGAGGCCTGGTTTGAGGCTTGCCTCTATGACTTTACCTGCACGGATAACTGGTCCCTCAACTTCCGCTGGGTCACCATCACTGATGATGGCATTACCAAACTATCTGATGGTGATGTCTTCTGAATATTTTTCCTGCTTGCCCTCTGCTGGAATATTTTTTGTATTATTCATTGTTTTCAAGTACCGTATCTTTGTAATGAGTTTTTATATTGCTTTATTTTTTTGATAAAATTGTCATTGCCATGGATTTCAATTTGTTATACTTTTCTTGTTTTGTTATCTTAGCTGAAAAAGAGTCATTATAAAGTTTATGGACGTTGATGGCGTGTGTATTACGCATTTGACATAGATGCAGTGCTGATAATTTGCTTGTCCTCAGGTCGCCAGTGCAAGAATGGCGCTTCTTCCTGCAAGGTGAATGTGTGTCCTGAAGGCTCCTCTTGTGTGACCTTCCTACAGATGTACGGCAACGCCAGCAACTTCTGCGAGACGGTATGTGCCTTCATGTGCTCCTCTTCTGTGAGATGGTATGTGCCTTCATATGCTCCTTTTCTGTGAGACGTATGTGCCTTCATGTGTTCCTCTTCTGTGAGACGGTATGTGCCTTCATGTGCTCCTCTTCTGTGAGACGGTATGTGCCTTCATGTGCTCCTCTTCTGTGAGACGGTATGTGCCTTCATGTGTTCCTCTTCTGTGAGACGGTATGTGCCTTCATGTGTTCCTCTTCTGTGAGACGTATGTGCCTTCATGTGCTCCTCTTCTGTGAGACGGTATGTGCCTTCATGTGCTCCTCTTCTGTGAGACGTATGTGCCTTCATGTGCTCCTCTTCTGTGAGACGGTATGTGCCTTCATGTGTTCCTCTACGCTTATGGAATGAGGTTATTGTGGAAAGTAATTTATTTAATTTCTTGAATTCGATATTCAAGACTTTAGAAATATTGTAAATGATACAAATTATTGGCAGGGATATTGAGATGCAGTATCCAATTATCTAAACACTTGAATTTTGTCAATTATCTGAAGTGATACATGTAGCTATGAAAAGCAATTCATGAAGATGGCTTCGTCTCTACTCGTGCTCTATCTACTCTCTATCGCATGTTTCTCCAATATACTTATTTTAATTATTTTTACTTAAGACGTTACACGTTCTCCGAGTATCGAAACGTTCTCCAATGCCCTCATGTGCGTGCGCGCAACCGTTGGTGGGGTTTTTCTTCAATTATGGATTATCCACCGTATTATTATGAATGAATGAATGCTCAGGTGTGGGACGGCTCCTGGCGCTACACGCCGGACGACCAGCCCTGCATGCGACTCTGGTTTGACGGTGAAGCTGGCAACCCCAACGTGGCTGTGGCTGAGTTCTATGCCAATCTCAAGTCTGCGTCTGGTGTTGATACGCTATTGCTCTCACCTGCCCTCGCACTCCTCGTGAGCGTCGTGGCCATGTTCATCCGTCCGGGCCTTTAAAAGAGAACTGCCGGGTGGAGTAGTTCGTTGGTCACACAAGCTAGAAAAAAGTTGGACATTTTTATTATAAGTTAATCTCTTTGGAGAGTAATTTGGTCTACTTTAGCGGAATCGTTTTAATGCAGCCATGTGGATGCAAATATATGACTGGTGCCAAATTGTATTTTGTAGGTTTTCCAAACTTCATCTAAGGCTGCGCCATGATACCCAACAGTTGTAACGCTTAGAGCTCATTTATAGTTTGCTGTGACGGACTATATCAATTCAAAAAAGCATATCAATAAAGTGAAGAATTTTTAATCGCTGAAATATTATGCAAGAACTTCTCATGAACAAAACTTGGGGAACGAGCCTAATAAAATTAATTTGAAGGTAAGGTTACCCACACTCGCGCAGAGTTAGGTTGCCTGGGCAAAAGTAGTGGTCGCAGCCAAAACACCATGTGTGCCACTGGTCGGTCGTAGTGATGACAAGATCCACTCTAGCACGTGCCCACGTGTGCGTCCAAGGTTCTGACGTTGCTTCAAATACGAATTTTACTTCATGAGCTCAAATAATGAGTAGGGGCTAAACATCTTCGTCATGGCCTATCATACGACATACGGTAATTTTTGAACTGAATGGTCGGAGTAGGCAGCGAGGCATGAGATACACATTATAGCTGCAGCACCCTGCAAGTTGCTGCTGTTGTGGAGTCAGGCAACGAACTGCCGAAAAATTCTTCAAGGAAGAGTAAAGTAAAGTTTGGGGCGAGATATTTGGTTCACGTTGAATGTGCTCACTGAAACTACTTTGAACGTCATCCAAATCTTGTGAGGCGCAGCGTAAGTTTGGAGGTGAAATTTATGTCCGAAATTTCTTAGAAATAAAAACTAAATCATAGATTTTTGTTCATCTCGTGTATGACGATTTATGTCTTTGCAATGTGTCTTCTGCATGTAAACCAAAATGTGTAATGTAGAAAAATTGGTGTCAATTCTATTTGTTGCAAAATTTTTGTTTGATTTTAGAATCGTGAAAATCTTTAGGTCATTTAAGAATTTAGTTTTCACGTTGTCATTCTTCTTGATTTTGTTATTAACTAAGATTTCGATTTTGTTATTATAAAGTTATAATAAGTGCCATCATGAAATCTTGGAGCTCAACTTAACTCGTATGAAAGTGACGTGCCTGTTAAACTAAGCCACCGAAAATGCTGTCGAGCGCGCACGCTTCAAGCAAATAAGTCTCACAGTTGAGAATGTGTAACTAAATGTAGCAAAAAAGTTTTCAGCAAATGTTATTTCGAGTCTGGCAACTGGTTCTTTTACGTCATAATTCTCAAGCAAATGTTATTTCGAGTCTGGCAACTGGTTCTTTTACGTCATAATTCTCAAGCAAATGTTATTTCGAATCTCGCAACTGATCTTTTTACGTCACAATTTTCACGCAAATGTTCTTCCTGAAATCAAATTGGTAATTCATCATTAGTTTACCTTAGCCATTAATTAATTATTAGTTTTGACAATTGATCGCTGAATTTTGAAGAAATAACATCATATCCCAACAAGCAAGAGCACGATTAGGGTCTACTGAAGGCAGACGTCACTTTTTGTTCGACATCTCTAAACAATAGTTGACTTTTGCCTATACTTCACACTAATCGTGCGCATATGTTGTTGTATAAAGTTGAAATATTAAGTTTTTAATTAATTTACAGAACCAAAATTTAATAATGACTATAATAATACTGGAAACCTCAATTTTAATGTAGCGTCAATAATAACAAGGTAAAAATGCCTTTGTGATAAAATAAGTAAGCTGGCCGTAATGTGTAAAGTTTGCCTTAAACAATTAAGAACAATGTAAGCCTCACTTTAGATGTATTGTTTTACGATTTTTCGAATGTTGAATGTTTAGACAAGGCCAAGACTTGTCTAAACATTCAACTTTTCGTCATGATGCTCATGGAGATACTCAAAATTTTATACGAACAAAAGCGCTACGATGTTGGCCGCATCGTATTGCGCAGCTCGTAGGCTAGCTATTTTGCAGTACTTTAATGCAAGCAAATGATAGAAAGAACTGTGTTGTTTGTAAAACTGCACGAGTGTGCCGTTATTTTTATTGTAGTTTTAGATTTCACACTGATTGTTGCTGCATGCATAATGTCCAAGAGTTTAACTTAGAGTTTAAACAATATTTATAAAAAATAATGAATAAAAATATCCAAGAGTTTAACTCAGAGTTTAAACAATGTTTATAAAAACTTGAACAAAAAAAGAGTTTTTGGTCCAATTGAGTGAGTTTGAATTGACAATTGACGCTCACATATTGCTGTGCAAGCGCTCAATCATGACAAATGATATCAAAAAGCCTTACGGTCTTTTAATATCATAAATAAGTGTAATTTTCTTTCAGTTTTCTGCTCAAATACTTTGGCTGCGTATTAATGGCTACTGTTTTTACTACACGTTTCGCTTGGATCTTTAGAAATGATTGACATCCTTATATTTTACTCGCCCATTGGCGTGAATTCTGGACTGTTTTATGTTGCAAGAAATGCGATCTTCTGGACGCTAGTGAACTTTTTAAATTCCCAGGATAACTTTAATCAATCAAACAGCTGCAACTTATTATTTTATTTTGAGAATCTTGTAAGGACAATTGCCGCTTGGTTAAATGCTTAAAATATCTACGCTGTGTTTGCATTTTAATAATTTCATTTAGTAATAGCATCTCAGTTCACATGTTCATGGAGTTCTAATTTTATGTTCGGTTGCTGGTATGACTGCGTCATTCGTGGGTAATTTAGGTCGCCTAGGATTACCTCAGCCTTTTGCCTAAGGATAAATTAATCATGCAATACGTACCTTGAGGTCTGGGAAAGCGGGCTACTGGGATTTTACTTTGAGTTTAAAACACTCCTGTCCGCTAGTTACTCCCAATATGCGCCGAATTGTGCGCTTCTGTGCCATCTGGGCGCAAAATTCGAAATTATTACTTCTAGCCCTTTGAGGAGTTTGTCTGTTATCTAAAACACTAGATATTTCCTACAGCATAGAATAAAATGCTGTAGGTGCCACTGAGGCTCGAGGTAGTTAGTTGCAGCGCAGACGTAGGAAAAATGTGCACGAGTGCCGAGATAATTTGTCGGGAACATCAGTGCAGGTCTTCTTGGTGTATTCTTGTAGAATGACTTCAGATTGAGAAGGGTTTAATACTTATCGGAATTGTTACTGGTATCATTTACTGTGACCATTAACGTAAATTTGCTGGAAATAATATACACGCAACAGCCTGCTAGAGTTTTATTTATGCCGCATCGACGTTGAGTGTTGTTGGGCTGCACCCATGGATCTGCCTACGAATGTCCGTTGTGGGATTGATATTTCAGTTTACATGAGCTTTATGAAGCATGGGTGCCTAGGGAGAGAAATAACGTGGGTGACGGCATAATTAGGGAGGGTAGTATCATGAGAGAGGGTAGTGTCATGAGAGAGGGTAGTATTATGAGAGAGGGTAGTATCATGAGAGAGGGTAACATCATGAGAGAGGGTAGCATCATGAGAGAGGGTAGCATCATGAGAGAGGGTAGTATCATGAGAGAGGGTAGTATCATGAGAGAGGGTAGTATCATGTGTTCCACATATAATTATGAATGATTTTTGGTGGTATATGGCTGCTAAAACCACTCGCGAGTTACATTACTGAGCGAAAGTAATGAATGGCTGACAAAATAATTGAAAAAAAATCTTGCCATATCATTGAGTTTAACGGTAAACTTTTTGGTTACGGACATCTTATCCGTCGTCAGTGTTATTCGTATGTAAAGAACGGTAACGATAGTTACCGGTCTCTACCATTGGTAAGACAAAACCGTCTAATAGAAGAATTACATCAGAAATGATGTAGACATAAGATAATTTGAAGTCCGTATCACAGCTGATATCAATAAAACATCAAAACACACAATTTTCAATTAATAGCATGTTTTGAACATTATTTAAAAAATGAGATATATCTGAAAAATATAATATATTTATTTTGGCTTGAAAAAATGACTTATTTCTCTACACTTTCCCTCTTAGTCTGGACTAACACACGCAAATAATGTATTCGAAGGCACAGTGCGTTAAAGTGGTTACGCCAATTTTTCCTCATTCCGACCACAGTGAAGACCGGGATGTAATTTCAAGATACTCGCCCAACTTCAAGGTTTGTACTAGGTGAGAGCGACACGATATAATACATCTAATGAATGCATAATATAAATTTACGGACATTCATGCAGTACCAAAAATAATGTTCAAATGCAGTCAAGAAAAGGAATGTACCTGCTTAAAATTGCCTTGCTCAAAGAATGGCACTGTAGGAAGGGGTCATTAGGCCTTATTTGTACGCTCATTTGGCCCGTGAATACGTATTACGATTGAATTATGCAAACAAGCATAGAATTATTCTCGCAACTTATTCCAAAATTTTCTGCTTCTCAGCTGAATCGCACAAGAAGATGAGATGACATTCATTCCACACTGCAGCTTGCAATGATGAAGCCTCCAGCCCCAGCCTGCGGAGGGAGCAGGTTTATAAGAGCGTCTCAGGCTATTGTCGCACACTCGGTGTCAGCGACATGCTGTAAGTAAGGTGAACTTGCTTACCAAGATCACAAAATATAAGGGTTATAATGTAAATACTTTGAATTTATTTACAAATTTGTTGTTATTCTTTTGATCTTGATGCGTTTTATGTTCTACATAATCTATCGAACATAGATTTTATTGCTATCCATATTTAATTTGCCCGTGCAATTTATTACTGGCCCTATACACTAGACTTGTGGGCAACTGGCCATAAAAACAGCATCATCGAAGCCCAAGACTATAATCTAAACTTTCATCAGCACGATAATCTCATTTAAAACATTTATTTTAGCTATTTTAAATAATAATTTTACTCGGTTTGCTATGCGAGGTTTTGAGCTAGGAACTTCTGTCTGTGGCTACGTGTATACACACAATTTGCTTTAGGTATGTCGTGTTGAGCTTTGAGAGAGGATATTGAAGAGTTAGTCTCTATCATAAATTCGCTCGTTTTCGTCATGCACAGGAAATAAAACTGAGCTTAACCTCGAACTCGTAATCTCGATTTGTCTGACAGTAACATCTAGTGACACGACACTATTTCACTAGATGCCCAACTGAGACGATACATAGATTAATTATGAAATAATTAATAAGTCTTCGGGAGTGTTTTTTTTAATTAATTAATCATCATTTAGTCCCATTAGAAAATTACAATTCGGAAAATGTTAGGAACTTAGAAACCTGAAAATAATGATGTCCTCATTCCCACTACCCTAATTTGATAAATATTTCACTCGATAGTAATAATAAAAGTGAAGCGCACTTGGGAAATATCAAATCTTTTTTATGCATACCCAATCATAGCTTTATTTCTCAGACTTAACCCAGCAAAATTGAACATTGTAAGCACACTCTTTCTATATTGTATCAAGAACCGGAACATATTATGTCTCTAGTTTGTTTATACAATACTGAATGATGGAAATATTAATGCAATACAATAAATAACTGATAAAACATTGCTGAAGTGTCATATTATCAAAACTCACGCCCGCCTCTCCCGCCTCTAGCGCCACACCAGCGCTCAGCCACGCGATGCACGCCTCACACGACCGGGCCTCGGCAGCGGTGAGAAATAATTCTGCCTCGATCTTGCACTAAAAAATATATACATTGTTATAAATTATTTGTGTGTATTTTATTGGTATAAACAAAACACCCAAATTTCGAATTTGTGTTTAAAATTTAATTCAAGGTCCAAGAAATAAATAATTTAATGAGATATTAGGAGTATTGTTTTGCGGAAATTTCCATTCTCATTGGCACAGAGGACCGAGTCCGGCATGAATTGTTGTTTAGTTATTGCCATTGTGTCTGCATGAAATAAGATATGCATAACAGAGCAAATGTGATTTGTAATGTGCATGAATGTCATGACACTGTCTGCATTATAAAATTGAACATTGGTCGCTCTGCAAGGATATGACGCAGAATTTATTCTGAAATTCAGCTGCGCCAACCAGGAAGTAACATTGCATGTCAAAAAGCCGCGGCCACTCAAACTTTCAATTCAAGAACGAAGCTGTAGGCGGAAGCAATTTTAACAGAAACAGAATGTGATTAGTAATGAACAGTTCTGTATCATAAATACGACACATACAATATTTTGGCCCATAATAGAGTAAATTAAGAAAGTAATCCTGAAAATGTAATTCTAGTTTCATCACTGCTAGAAGACTCGAAAACTGTTGAAATGACTGTTTCAAACAGACTTAATTTCTAACGCTCATCACACTCAACATAATAAAGTTGCAGGTAAGTTACTAATCGTTCGAGATGGTTTATTTGAAGAATTTGAAAATTGCATGATTATACGAGACCCGCATAGAGCATCGTTCTACATGAATTTCATCCCTGGAACGTTGCGGATGTCTACATCCATAAAGTTCAATTCTTTCCCGAATTAGCATCGTCCAATGAATGAGCAAACCAAATATATTGGTCTCACATCACAGGCCTGATATCCCAATCAAGACATGGACAATTACCAGCGTTTTACATCGAATTACTTTCGCTAAAGCAGTCATTCGTCGCTTTGATTTATTGTCATAATTCGATATCTACCTGCGCTCGACAGCTGATGTTGGGTTTGGCAGCGCTGCTGTTGTGGGGGCTAGACTGCGTGGACGGCGAACAGGTCCGTGGGGTGCGGGCGCGGTGGTTCACACAATACGAGGACTGCTTCAGCCTCATCGGCAACAGGGACATTTACGACGAGGTCTCCGAGATTTGCTACGACTGCCAAAACCTATTCCGACAGTCCGACGTCGAGGATAAATGTCGGTGAGGAACGACTGGTGCAATTTTAACTTTAAGGAAGAATTATAAAGGGAATTACTTGAGCGGATATGTGGTGTTTCAATCATATGGCAAGTTATTTTAAATTTGAGCTGAATTTGTTTTCATCATACTCACATAGGAAAATTATGCTAATAAATGAAATGAATTATATAACCAATTAACTCATTCGAACAATTTATGCAGGGCAAACTGCTTCTGGAACGAATACTTCGTGCTGTGCGTGCACGCCCTGCAGCTCTGGTCGCGCATCCCACAGTACAAGCTCACCGCCAACATCCTCAAAGTCGGCTAGTCGTACAGGCTAGTCGCACATGATAATCGTACGGGATAGTTGTTCAGACTAGTCGTCTGCTAGTCACGCAGGCTAGTCATATATTCTAGTCGAACAGGTTAATCGTACGGAATAGTCGTTCAGATTAGTCGTTTGTCTAGTCACACAGGCTGGACATACATTCTAGTCGTACAGGCTAGCCGTACAAGCCAGTCGTGTTATGAGGCAGGATACTCATCCTCCGTTCAGAAGTGTACAAGGCAATAAACTCCCCCTAAATTACCAGAACATTAATATTTTTTAAAAAGAACCTCATAAGTAACCTTTTCGTATGAGCCCAACGTTATATTCAGTTATACATCTTATGATATGAGGATATTCTTATACTTTTAGCTTACCACTTGTACTGCATCTGTAGCACCGCATCAAGGAACCTTCATCTCAGCGCTAAAGTGTCCACGACAACCGTAACTGTGCAGTGCAACTGCATGTTCAATATGCCTCTTGAATAGTCAAAAAAAAAAAAATACACTTTAAGTTTTACCATCTGTGCTGAAAAGAAAGACTTTTTTCTGGAACAGTAGAAATAAACATCAAATAAAATTGTTTTGCTGCAGACAAAAATTTTCTTACCCTGCTAGGTGGATCAAGTTGCATTAACATGGTTTGTTCTGCTTAGAGCAGGAGCAGACTGCGTCAAATCACGAGCAAGTGAAATTTTTAAATTTTTCGTCTCGTATTTTTCCGAAATTCGCATTACGAAAATCAAGCATCTGACAGGAAATGCAACAGATTTTGAAAATAATAATCTTCAAATCAAGATGAAATATTTTCCATCAAATTGGCTGATGAGGATATCTCGTACGACTGCGAATTTCCATGTCCATCTGGCAACATTCGTCATTCTCTTGTAATTTTTCATCTAATGCGGTGTAGCGAACTTTGTCGTTTGGAAGTATATTTGACCGATTTACTAAGTGATCAAATTTAGAAAGAATGCTCTTTGCTGTAACTTCGAGTCATTATTTGCTTGCAACGTTTGCGGTAAGTAACTTGAGAATATTCTATAAGCGCTTGAATTAATGTTGTAACTTTAAGTAGATTTTCGTATCTTAGGTCAAGCTTCGTGACGCTAGATGACGTGCGTGTGACGTAGATCACGAAGTTGCGTTCACGCATTCATCCACTTAATTAATTGCACCTATTGTTCCGGTCATACGGATATTTTAATTTGTTCTGCATTAATTAGCTAAATAATGATATGAGTATCGTCGAATAAATGCGAAAAGTTTTATTAACACTGTGGAAAATACAAAATTAATGATGTTTACCTACTGTTGGGGCACCCAAGGCAGGACCAGTGATAAACCTGAGCCCGGGAGTGAAGATGAATTGCTCGTAAACGAGGATGACCATGCAGACATTTATTCTGAGTAAATTAGCCGTGTTGCATAAGAGGGTCCGCGTTAATCAAAATTTACATCTTAAATGAATAATATATTTCAATTTTAATTCGTTTTTGCTAAACTCTGAACTTATTTTAATGCGGAATAATCTTGAATTTATTAAATTCTGAAATGAGTGCGGAAATAGTTAATTGTATGTATCACCTATAATGTTGGGTTGTTGTCGCAACATTTTTGTACTGAAAATGGAAGCGTGCATACTACCAGATTTTTAGTGTCGTGCTGCTGCCGGTGCCGGGGAGCGGCCATTTGTCAGACGTGACCAGCGAGACGATGGCTTGCGCTTACCTCATGGGAAGCGAACTGCCGGTGCGTGAGGCAGACCGCATCTGTGACCAGTGTGTGCAACTCTTCCCGGTGCCCGACCTCGGCCGCCTGTGCAGGTAACTGGAACCTGCGGTGCCCGACCTCGGCCGCTTGTGCAGGTGACAGGAACCTGCGGTGCCCGACCTAGGCCGCCTGTGCAGGTGACTGGAACCTGCGGTGCCCGACCTCGGCCGCATGTGCAGGTGACAGGAACCTGCGGTGCCCGACCTCGGCCGCCTGTGCAGGTGACAGGAACCTGCGGTGCCCGACCTCGGCCTGTGGAGGTAACTGGAACCTGCGGTGCCCGACCTCGGCCGCCTGTGGAGGTACCTGGAACTTGCGGTGCCCGACCTCGGCCTGTGGAGGTAACTGGAACTTGCGGTGCCCGACCTCGGCCTGTGGAGGTAACTGGAACTTGCGGTGCCCGACCTCGCCGCCTGTGGAGGTAACTGGAACTTGCGGTGCCCGACTTCGGCCGCATGTGCAGGTAACTGGAACTTGTGGTGCCCGACCCCTGCCGCATGTGCAGGTAACTGGAACTTGCGGTGCCCGACATCGGCCGCCTGTGGAGGTAACTGGAATCTGTGGTGCCCGACCTCGGTCGCATATGCAGGAGAACTGAATTTGCGGTGCCCGACATCGGCTTGCCTATGTATTGCGTAACTCTAACTTGTATTATTAAAAAAAATTCACGGTACATGAATTCATACCAGATTGATGAATGAAATTCTTTTTGGAGAGTAACAAAATTTCCACTTAAAATTCTTGGATGATGCGATGTATAGACAACAAATTCTAGTGTACTTACCGTGAAATCTGCGAACAAGAAGTTTTTAAATTGATTTTAGTTTGGAAAATGTGCTATTGATGATATATGAACAAGTAACTGATTTTTATGTATTCAAGATTTTATATCATTAATCGTATAGTAATTAAGTCAGTGGTTAACTCATTTTCAAATTGTATGTCCAGGAAGTCGTGCTACATCAACATGGACTTCGCCGCTTGTGCCACGATTGTCAACAAGGCGAGGGCAAGTGGGACACTGAGAGACTAGAAGGACGCCATACTTGTGAAATTAGAATTCATTAAAGATGTTGTTATAATAAAGAATGAAAGCTACTTTCGTCATCATTAGAGAAAAAATTACAAAATTAGCTGTATATTTCTTCATAGTCATCATTTGCTTGATTTCCCGCGTACGAGACTCAGCGGCGTTTACCAGATACCGAAAGACAAAGAATGAACTATTGGATATGACAGAAATTTAGGTTGTGAGATGAAAACTCATTCATAACATAACATAACATAGTGATGTCGGCGCTGAAGAGTAGGCCTGATGTGGCCTGTCGCCGATTCTTGAACTTTACGTGACTTGTTTACTGAAGATCTGAAATCGTGTCATTTGACCGGATCTTTTCAACTGATGATAGTTTGAAATAGCTACTAGACTTCCACCGGGTTCGATATGGTGCTAGGCATTTCAAGTCTGAACATACATTTTTTCATAGCTTTATCTAGTCTGTTCTTGAACGCGTTCATACTCTGAGTGCCAACGATGTAATCAGGGAGGCTGTTCCACATATCGGTGATTCGAAGCAAGAAGAAAGTTTGACGTGTGGAGAAGTTGCAGCGCAATTTTTTTAGTTAATAGCCGTGGCCCCTGGGGTTGGTTCTTGTTTCAAATTCTAGTAACAATCTATATCATTAGTAATAATTATGCTGATCATCTCCTTGAGTTGTCAATCGACAAGGAAGAGGGTCTTGATTCATGATGCAGAAGAGTTGTTTGAGGGAAAACCATTTTGAACACCAGTGGCCAGAATATTTTCTTGAAATAATAGTGCACTCTTTTAAATTTTGGCGTCGTTTTTATTTTGGCCTGAGCAGAAACCTTGCCACTCCCACAAACTCATTCTCATAAATTTAAGGTTGAATGTTATCGAAAAAAATTCAGCCTTAAAGAACATTTCATAAAATGAACATTTGGGGGCGCGTCTGCAGCTATGAACATCCACACGTGTTCCGGTTTATTACACTGAGGATTCGAATTTGCTTGGTATCCGAGTTAATATTTGCTTGAAAGTCGCTCATAATAATAGAAAGCTTGACTGAATGCGAGCCTAAACGACTGACGCCATTGTGCCAGGAATCTCAGTTGAATCTCACCGAGTGGCTGATGCTTAGTCCTCGAAAACGGAATATTGCCCACCAATTTTTTCAAGAAATTGGTATTGTGATGGAAATATTGAATGCTTGATTTACTAAAAAGTGCTGCACTTTTGTAAGTCCGTACAGAGCAAAGGGCTAAACTTTGCCGGGGTGAGGAGCTTTAGTATCTCATCTGATCGATCAGAGACATCATTTGTGAGAGCTTAGTTGTAAAAATGTGCATTAACTCTGAACGAATACAAATGCTTAGTGACATTGTATAACGATAGATATTTTTTTTCGTTAAATATCAAATAATTATCTGATCATGAAATTATAACGGCAAATTATGTAAACACAAATTCTCATCAGAAATGAATCATGGCATGCGAATTCATATAAAGATTTATTTAAGTATGTGAAAATATAACCAGAACCAAATCGAATAAAAAACGACAATCGCTATATAGCATTGCCAGATGGTAGTCCGGAAATTATACCTTCACACACAAATAAAACGGAAAGACCATGTTTCCGATAGCATCTTTGAGCGAACCGTGAAATTTCAATAATGAATGAAAAACCGATGAGGCATGAGGTTCTTTGTGCTGAGCTCCCGTGACAGTAGTCGGCTTCGGCCGGCTGCTACGTCATCTTTCTGGAACTATCTTCCTCGAACTTTGAAAATGCCGTGCTGTCCCGCTCCGCGGCGTTGAGCCGGCGAATGGTACGACCAGCTAAAGTGAAGTTTAACTCCTGAAAACCTATAAATGCTCCCGGCATGTACCAACTGCAAAATTCGTTACAAACATTTTAAGATGCCTCCATGTGTGGTTAGTGCCCCCGGGTGAGTGGTTAGTGCCTCCAGGTAGTGGTTAGTGTCCCCAGGTAGTGGTTTGTGTCCCCAGGTAGTGGTTAGTGTCCCCAGGTAGTGGTTTGTGTCCCCACGTAGTGGTTAGTGTCCCCAGGTAGTGGTTAGTGTCCCCAGGTGAGTAGTTAGTGTCCCCAAGTAGTGGTTAGTGTCCCCAAGTAGTGGTTAGTGTCCCCAGGTAGTGGTTAGTGTCCCCAGGCAGTGGTTAGTGTCCCCAGGTAGTGGTTAGTATCCCCAGGTAGTGGTTAGTGTCCCCAGGTGAGTGGTTAGTGTCCCCAGGTAGTGGTTAGTGTCCCCAGGGTAGTGGTTAGTGTCCCCAGGTGAGTGGTTAGTGTCCCCAGGTAGTGGTTAGTGTCCCCAGGTGAGTGGTTAGTGTCCCCAGGTAGTGGTTAGTGTCCCCAGGTAGTGGTTAGTGTCCCCAGGTAGTGGTTAGTGTCCCAGCTATCTGCCCTGGAGTGGGGCTATCTGCCCTGGAGTGGGGCTATCTGCCCTGGAGTGGGGCTATCTGCCCCGGTGTGGTCTCCACTTTGGTGGCCCCGTTCTGCAACCCTTCAGCCATTGAGAAATCTCGAGTTTTTTTTCAAGACACCCAATTCTGTACCTGAAAACAAAATTCAGTCAAATTCCTTGAACTGTTCTGACGTGGGGCCGCATGGAACCAGTCTTCAGAGGCTCCCATAAATTCCAATTAAAGAAGAAAAGAATAATGAATGAACTGTCATTGACTGTATTTGATTGTTGAAACGGTGTTGTTTGCCCTGGAATTTGGAACCGAATACCTTGAAAAACACTTCTCGTTTGTGATGTTATGTTCAAGTGAAATGATTCTTCGCCCGTGATGGGGCGGGGTCAATGTGTGCCAATTCTCGCTGCCCTTAATTCAACTGCGACAGTTGACGTTCCTTGCCTTGTCCTGTCGCCTACAGAAAGTGTCAGGAGACTACCGTGTTTACTGAAATTCCCAGTAAACGACTGCGTTTACTGACATTCCCAGTAGACTGTGTATACTGACATTCCCAGTAGACGACTGTGTTTACTGAAATTCCCAGTAAACGACTGCGTTTACTGACATTCCCAGTAGACTTTGTTTACTGACATTCCCAGTAGACGGCTGTGTTTATTGAAATTCCCAGTAAACGACTGCGTTTACTGACATTCCCAGTAGACTGTGTTTACTGACATTCCCAGTAGACGACTGTGTTTACTGACATTCCCAGTAGACGGCTGTGTTTACTGACATTCCCAGTTGACTATCGTGACTGTTGATGTAAGCAGTAGACAACTGTGGGCTTGCTGTGCTGATGAATTGATACTGTCCCCAGACAATTGACTATCCCAGAAAGTAGGGGCTTTTTTATTTTTACTTCAGCTGTACGTCTTGCCTTTCCTTGGAATTTACAGTCGAATTTAACCATAGATAAAATGTGCGAGAATCTTTCGAGTAAATTATATTTATGTACATAAATTTCTCGAAAACAATCCATAACATGGACCCGATAACCATTTTGGACCATAAATTTTTTTTAAATTGTATATTAAAATTAGATTTATAATGTCCAGTCGCAATACAAAATTTCTGCATGATCCCACATAACCTGATCGGTCGAATAATGTGGCCGAAATGGCCGGTTATAAAGTGACTGCAGACGGACGCTAACAATGATATTGCTTAGGTAATATAAACGTACGTGCCAATGTTGGGAAATTAAGTGATTAATCCTACCAACTTTTCTCTTAATCATCCCCGGATGCACAGCTTAGTAGGGTTAAAGATATATTTGAGATTCGCTCATCAAAATCTTCTCTGAATATTGACATCTACTGCTTCTTGATTGAAGCTAGTTCGAAAAATGGTAAATGTCGTTTATATGTAGTACCTCGAGTATATGAATTTTACTAGAATTTACAGCAGGAGAATCTTTACTGCCATAGATGGCGAAATTTAGAAATTAGAAGCAGTCAACTGATTCATCGGCTCAATGCTATTTTCAAATTGTCACGTTCATTTATTGAAATATTTTGCAAATAGCAGTATTTTCATTTTTAAGCAATTGCTATTTCAAAATTGCAAAAAATGTGCAAAATTTCTAGCTACCCAAAGACCATCTATGCCTTGGTGATTTTCACATCTAATCATATTTTCGAACCGTCGCCAAGCAATGCCATGAGGTTCTGTAGTTTATCATCGTGTTCTACATTAACGCCTGAGTAAATTCATATAATTTCAATTATGAAATAGCTACATCTTATAGCATTATTCGTTTTATCTAATCGGGATCTAATTGAAAAGGATAAATATTCCATTTACCAAAAAAGTTTATTTCTGTGAAGCAACTTAAGCGAGTAACTTTAATTACAGCTGCCAGCAATGGGACTCAGTGGCATGCTGACGCTGGCAGTGTTGCTGGTAAGAGTCAGCCGGAGTCATCAGGCAGAGACGTTAGACGTAGCGCGTCAGCAGGCGGAGACGTCAGACGTAGCGCGCTGCGTCGCGCTGACAGGCGGGGACGATGAGCTGCTGCAGCGCGCTCAGCTCATCTGTGCTACGTGCGCCTCCATCTTCCAGCGCGCCAGCATCGTCAGCCACTGCAGGTAACCCAGCGCGCCAGCATCGTCAGCCACTGCAGGTAACCCAGCGCGCCAGCATCGCCAGCCACTGCAGGTAATCCAGCGCGCCAGCATCGTCAGCCACTGCAGGTAAATACTAGTGAGACTAGCGACACTTTACTAGTGAGACTAGCGACACTTTACTAGTTAGACTATCGACACTTTACTAGTTAGACTATCGACACTTCACTGGTGAAACTACCGACACTTTACTAGTGAGACTACCGACACTTTACTAGTGAGACTAGCGACACTTTACTGGTGAGACTACCGACACTTTACTAGTGAGACTACAGACATTTTACTAGTGAGACTACCGACACTTTACTAATGAGACTAGCGACACTTTACTAGTGAGACTACAGACATTTTACTAGTGAGACTACCGACAGTTTACTAGTGAGATTACCGACACTTTACTAGTGAGTCTACCGACACTTTACTAGTGAGACTACTGACACTTAACTAGTGAGACTACCGACACTTTACTAGTGAGTCTACCGACACTTTACTAATGAGACTACTGACACTTAACTAGTGAGACTACTGACACTTAACTAGTGAGACTACCGACACTTCACTAGTGAGACTACCGACACTTCACTAGTGAGACTACCGTCACCTTACTAGTGAGACTACCGACACTTTACTAGTGAGACTACCGACATTTTACTAGTGAGACTACCTTCATTTTACTAGTGAGACTACCGACAGTTTACTAGTGAGATTACCGACACTTTACTAGTGAGGCTACCGACATTCTTCTAGTGAGACTATCGACACTTTACTAGTGAGACTATCGACACTTTACTAGTGAGACTAGCGACACTTTACTAGTGAGACTAGCGACACTTTACTAGTGAGACTAGCGACACTTTACTAGTGAGACTAGCGACACTTTACTAGTGAGACTAGCACTAGTGAGACTACCGACACTTTACTAGTGAGACTACAGACACTTTACTAGTTAGACTATCGACACTTTACTAGTGAGACTATCATACTTTCTTATTGATAGTACCGTCTACAGGCGTGGATATGACCGATGGTGAAGAGCATTATAGAGATTATCTTATAAATCTTCACATTTATTGTCCATGCAGACGAATTCGTGGACGGATTATTTTGCCATTTTACTGTAGAATTAAAATAAAATTTAAAGACGCAGAGCACAGCGCAATGATTGAAAAACGTGGAAGTAGTTTGGGCCGATGACTGCGCGAGATACTGTAAATTATTCGACTAGTCTATGTATATAGTTTGGGTGTTTTTAAAATCTCGATGGTTGGCAAGTTGAATGCACGGTGAAATGTTATCCTCTTACCAGGTTTTGAAATTCTGCTGATTGATCTCACGTTTTTTTCCAGTTCCACGTGCTATATCAACGACGTTTTTGCCACATGCTATTCTTCTTTGAAGGAAACTCTTGAAAAAATGCAAATGGATCCTTTTCACGTGGTCAAAATGGACGTGGTTTTGAATGCAGCTCAAAAAGAAAATCAACGGAGGTTAAATTCTCCACGATTAACAACATGAAACGAGAATTCGAAAACTCCGAAGACGGTTTATCGGTTAAAGCTTAATTTCGTGAAGTTGCCGATGCGTAATTATCAACGTAGTGCACATTTTGCGATATTATGAATAAACTTAGGTTGTTTAATCAACTGATATTCCTGTGCTACTTGCCGTAACACGGGAGTGAAATTATTTATCCCTCCAAAGAAAATTAACTCCAGTTTTTAACACAAATCATTGCCGTCTTTAGTTACAAGTTACAGGGGCAAGAATCCTAACTAATCGCTATACGCATTATAAATTGATACTTATTTTATGTAGACGCGTTTGCCGTGACGATAATTTGCGTCTCGATTAAAGTCCCTTTTGTTTCAGCTGAAAGCAGTAATGTTGTAAAAGGCTCATGGACTGCAATGAAATTTTTTCATTTGGATCTGCAAGGCGCTGTAGCAAGCCGAATATTGCATCCAATACGATCGAGTTGTGAGAATTATGCTGTGTCTGGTGTACAGTTGCAAAGCAAGGCACGCACTAGCTCATTTCCTACTTTCTTTGACCTGTTTTAGGTTGAGTTATTCTTTGAAGATCTACTTTCAAGTTGAGCGATATAAACTTGAGGTAATTTTGTAGATCTCTGCTGACAGTCATTTAGTCCTTCATATACACGGAGATTTTGGTTGTATCTGCATTCTAGGATAGAAATTTGTATTTGCACAATGGTGCATTTTGCAATCCTACTACACTTTAACTAAGCACAAGAAGATACAGGGAATGACGAGTAGCACAACGACTTACTGTAGGTTACGACTTACTGCAGGATTACGACTTACTACTTACTGCAGGATTTATTTCAACGACTTACTGCAGGATTTATTTCCTGTGTATATCCTCGACTACACATTCATCTTAAATATTTTACCATTCTTCATAAGATTGATTGAGGCGCATAAAACTGACGAATGCACTCGCGCGTGGACAACCGATTAATTCAAACGGTTGCGACTATTATGAGTTTTTGATATTATTCAGTGTAAATTATCCATTCACTGCAGCGAAAATATGTTGGAGTTTTTACGGAATGGGAACCTTGCATAATGAAATTTGATTATCTTCTCAGGTGAAATCAAAGCGAAGAGTGTTGCAATATGAAGCATTATTTATACGAAATTACGAAGCTCGTTTACTGTATATTGAACAGTAGATACGGCTCGAAACAGTCCAGAAACTTTAATATTAATTTGGAATGGTTGAGTATTTTATAGATAATCTATATTTTTGTGGGGCTGGGCATTAAGCCTCATTATGACCACATCCTCGTACACTTTGCATGCATATATCGCTTGAACCATACCCACTGCATGCCGTCAACTCTGCTGCCTCGTCTAACTTTAACTAACATAGAATAGGTTAATCAAATGTAGATGTTTTAATTTAATTATTTATAGCTTCCACACTACCGTTGATAGTGGGTAATGGGTGAGTGGGGCGAGTCGTGAAAGTTTACGAAGTCGAAATTGTTCATTTCAAGTATTCTTTAACAAATTTTTGTTTAATTGATTAACTTTTTTTTTGGCCGGTGTTTTAAATAACTTATTTGTGATGAATGTCCGAGGGTATTAGATGTCCCAAGGGGTATATTAGGAAATACAAATTCTTGGTTATTTCTGCAGTGACCGTCGTGACTCGCTGAAGTGATGTATCAGCAAGACGGCAGAGTTATAGCATCTGTGAGATTAGCTTACACATTGAACATCGTAGCAGCGGCGACAGAAGAACTGCCGAAGCAGGCATCGTATGGGAACTGCGTCTCAATGGCTGGCTTTAGCACGTAATGTGTTTATGTAAGACGACTCCGACGCGTAATGTTTCGACTGCCATCAACTACTGCGATGTGCCGCTCCTCTGCTCCTCTTGAGTACTGCTCAACAACAGGTGCGCAACCTGCATCATCGCGACACTTGAACCTTCTATAATGAAAAGTTATTGATAAGGATTATTTTTATTCATGTATTTGACGTATATCTTATTCCCGATGACCACCATAAGTTTTTGAATTCGAACTGAGAACAGAAATATTTGGCGGTCACCAATTGAACTACGCGGGTATTCAGTGGTAAAATATTTCATTGAATGTTTTCGGGTTTAGAGCTCAGAACTTTCCTGCCTTGTTTACATTAGGAGACACTCGAAAGAGAAACATGTGATACAAGCGCGAGCTCTTTCACATCGGTAATTCACCAGCGGGCGTGGGAGCGAAAACTGTTTGTGCAAGTGCGGCTCTTTCGTTCCCAAAACACGGCCGTGGGAGTCGGTGACACCTGCAACTAAATTCTACTTACTGTACAATAAGTAATTGGCAGTTATAGGTGGGCGACAATGAAATGTGCGTTTGAAGTCGATATTATTTTCGCCATGTGTGATGAAAGGAGGCTTAGTTTGATGTGAGGCTTATAGTGTGATGAAAGGAGGCACAAACCTTAATAATATTTATCAAGGTTACACAAATGCGGGAAATATAGCTGTAAACGCAACCAAGATAATTTTATTTATAATTTATAATGCTAGAATAGAAACTATTTAAACAATTCAATATATTTGAAAAATGATCTATATTGACTTGGGCTTAGAATATAAATTAAGTAACGAGGTACTTCGAAAAATATCCTTGATTACAGGCACACCAATGGCTCGTAAATTAAAACGTATAAACGAATGTATGAAGTTAAGCGTCTAGAAATAGAAACAAGGGGTATATTTGAAGCTGCAGAAATGCGAGTAACAAATGCAGGTCAAGATAGTTTATACCTGAACCATTTGAAATGACCCAACGATTATGCGCTGGAGAAGCAAGCTGCAGAAGCCGCCTATGACGCTGATGTATGTGCATGTAGAGCAGTTTATATATTTGATTAGCATATTAAAGACGTTCAAATAAACAACAAAACTGAACAACTATTAATTAACAAGTTAGATATAGTCGAGCGATAGAGATTCAATAAACTCAAACGAATTGATCCGTTGTTGTTAAAATATTTTATTGAGACATAAATGCTGCTGACCGCCAGATAATGCATCAAACGAAATATATATTTTTTATGATACAATCATTGTAAAATAATCCAGTTCATAGTTTTACTCATTGTATCTTAGGGATAATTACGTCGCTAGGTAATGTTATAATTATGAACATTAGGAAGGAAATCAGTTATCGACCAACACAAAAGTTTCGTATTGTTACTGCGAGTGGAACTTATTGGTGAGTTCAGAAATATTCGAGGAAAATTTACTTTCCCCCTAAACCGGATGCTGCTTTGTCGGTGCGAGTGACGGTTTGTTTGGATGAAGGGTGGACTGCGGAAACCTACCCGCGTACGTAGTTTGCTCACGAGCGATACCTTATGGCAATAACATGTAACTATAGCTAAAATTGCTACAAAAGATGTAATAGAATGTAACTTATTGCTTATCCTGTTGCTACGGGCAATAAAAATAGCCAACAGCTATACCATGTGACTGTGCCACCGGAGTCTTATTATGCATGAATAATTGCATGCAAAAGAGGAAATCAATTGCATGTGAGGTCCTCCTGGCGCACTGAACATATGAGCCGCGCCAAGAAACGCTACGAGCAAATGAGCGACGTCTGTTCCGGGTTATGATGAAATATTCATTATTGGAGGAAAATAAAGTGGGACCACTGAATTTTTTTTGATGGAATTATTAATGCAATTCCGTGAAAGTGTACAAAATTATTTACTAACTAACTGGAAGAATAAGGTAAGGAGTATGTATATTCGCAGAAAAGTTTATTGATATTCTCTTCGGATCAGCTTTGACGCCATGCAAAAGAAATTGACAAATCAAAATTATACAATTCGGCACTATATGCTACACCGCGCAATTAACCCAGCTAATGGCTTATCTTTAGCATTGCGATTTACTTTCAGGTGGAGGTAATTATAAAAATTATCGGATAGGGGCTTCTACTACAGTAATCATGCATGAATAAATTTACTTTTACGAGCCAGTCCTGTTCCGTTCATACCTATTGAGAATGAAGTAATTTTGCGTGGCTCATTTTCTTCATCGCCAGCGAAGGCAATATGTGATATGCATTGTGATATATCAACATAAAGATCTCATACTTTAGCGAGAAACTTAGTTTTATCAGAGCAAACGTGTATAATATTTTTGGCCGTTGAAGGAGGTAACGAGTTTTGGTCGGTCATAAGCAACAGAGATGGTGTTTTCAAATGACAACCACCTGCCCTTTAACTAAGGCTCGGAAGCTGATCTGTCTTCACCTCAGACTGGGCACCGCCACTGAAAAAATATTAGCGCATTGGCTAGCTGGTGCCTCTTATGACGCCTTTCATTGGCTACCTTATGGAGGCTCCGCCTTCGCCTCGGTGCCTCGCTACCCTCAAAACAGGTGGCCGTTCCGAGGGTCCTATTCTACCCTCACTTCAGCTTGATCAAGTTTAAAGAGAAGTTATTCTGAAACTGTGCTGTGAAGCTTGAAAAGTTACCAGGCTTGGTTGTTGTCGGTTATTTCTTCATTGAACATTCATACATATTCTTCCATCGTGCGTTGGTTGTGAAGTTGTTGGTATTAAGTTACACTCAGCAGTTACAATGCATCAGGTTCGCTCAGATCCCGCGTCGCCGTCATCACAGATGACAGAACTTCACACGATGCTGCCTGCAAACACTACGTTTGAGCAGCTGCAAAGTTCAGTCGAGCCGCTAGACCACCCCAATGCTTCCCACGAAACTCCTTTGTCAGAAGAAGAATTCTTGCGAACTTTACCGAATTTCCAGTTTACCGGCCAAATTTTACCCGGCTACGAAAACATTTCATATTTCCAGACTTGTGCATATTCACCCCACATGTATACTGACTTCAGTCCATCTCCTCAGTACCCTTACGAAATGAACTGGTCGAACTGCAATCTCCCAGCGTGTGTCGGCACTAACAGTTTTCTCAACACGAGTTTACTTATTTCGCCTGACTGCGAGCAGCTCATGCATGATGCTGCAACCAACTCAGCCAACCTTTCGGATTCTCCGACTTCTAACGATACCTCACCGAACTCTTCCATCGATTCTCTGTCGAATTTTTGCGATGAAACACAAGGCAATTTTTCTCAATACATTGAATGTGATAATAACAGGATCTCGAACCAAGGTTATTTTTCCGAACAAGTGCCGACCTTCCACCAAGATCTTCTTCATAATGACGTTACGTTAAGTTCACCTATGAAGTTCGAAGAACAACAAAGAACGAACTCAGGCGACGAACCCCTTAATAACTCTGACGGATGCATCGTTTTTCGTTCATCATCTCCTCGGGCAGACGCATTTCTTGACGCTGCAACAGAGGAAAAAACTGCGGACGCTACAGACTCTTGTGGACTGCCGACTCGCAATCCAGCGGACGGGGATGTTCATTTCAACACCGACATCTCGTCGCCGGCTTGCGCACGCCAATCTTCTCCTTGCCAGCCCAGCCGTGAGTGAACTATGGAATAAATTTATAATTAGTTATATATAATTTGACAATTGACAGACAGATGTGTCATTTTGAAAGATTTCCCAAAAGATATTTGTAAATTTGAGCAAGCACATTTGTTTTGAACATGCAGATCAGATCAGCAGTTGTGAACACCGATCTGAAGATGTTTAACATCTGATGAATATGTTTAGCAAGATATTTTTACTAAGTTTAACAGGTAAGTAGTGTTCAAGTAAATAATTCTTGGGAATCGGTAGAACATCGACTCCCTTTCGTCTAATAATAATCATTTGGATTATAAATTTTTGTTTTCTCGTACGAAAAAAAATTATGGTGGAAGTACGTGAAAACTATCATATGATGACTGCGACGTTCTACAATTGTATTTTCATCTATGCTGGAGTGTTTTCAACTTGGTGAGTTAATCTTTAAATTTATTTTAATCAGTTTCCATCGTTTTATCACAAAAACTCGAAATTGTCCCTACAACACTATAAAAAACTTTCCCTCAAGTTTTCAATTGAGCCTTGAATATGGATCATCAAATTATTCATTGTAGTAGATTTCCAAGCACTTCATTTGATTCATCTTCCATTCAATACAGGAGTTACATTATCCGATATAGTGCCGTATTCTTAAACTCGTCTCAGTTCATCGGATAACAAGAGCTCGCCTCAGTTCATCGGATAACAAGAGCTCGTCTCAGTTCATCGGATAACACGAGCTCGTTTCAGTTCATCGGATAACATGAGCTCGTTTCAGTTCATCGGATAACATGAGCTCGTTTCAGTTCATCGGATAACATGAGCGTTTCATCACTTCAGTCATCAATTTGATGGACTAAAAAGTGGCTGTGAAGTTTCTCACGACGCAACGTGAGCTCACCGCTGCTTTCTCTTGGTGAGGTTCACCCTGGCTCTGCCCCTCCCTTGAATCGAGGGGTCATTGTTCGTCACTAAGTTCTTTTAAATTTATAATAACATTAAATCTAGCGGAGAAAATCATTCGCTCAATTAAATTACGGTATTCCTTTTTGGAACTAACTATATACGTACTCACTTTACATAAGTATTTTAATCATACCATATATTAAACGCAGGAAAAGCAGCGGAAACTTCACAATTGTAATATTTACATCCTCAGAACAGAAGCAGCTTTGATGCAAGTTGAAAATCAACCAGAACGATCCAGCAATGAAAGCAAGCCAGTCACTTATAGCCTTATACGGTCGGAATTCTTACGCTAGCAGTCTTCATCATATAATGAAGGACACTTAGTCCTTCATCAAATTTGGTTTCACGTTCTGGGGGTAGAAAAATTAAAGCAATAATTTTTTAATTATTCTCTAATCGCGAATAATTTTAGTTATCATCAATAATAAAAAACAGGCGCACGGAAATTTCCAAAGCTCAGTATATTTATTCCAGGACAGCTGGACTGAATCTGACGGAGAAAACAGTGAAGCTTTTGTAATATATTTGCATTGACATCACTAATTGTCAGTGACGATGATTTACAACAGTTATCCTTAGTCGAAAATTCTGGTTAATTCTCATTTTACAGCGCATGCTTATTATTGTACTGGCGGGACAGTTTCATTATTTACTCATTTTTGAGCAAACAAATGCAAAACAGACCTGCAAACACGCAATATTCAACAGCAACAAAGGAGCTACATATCGGTGGCAAATTTTAAAATTAAATTTCACAGCTTTGGTAGTACGCGGGCACTTACAACATCAAAAGCAGGTCGTGTGTAGATATATCGTAAAATATATTAAAAAAAAAATTATTTTTAAAAATATCGTAAATAAAAAAAGCAGTTGAAGGAAACCCGGCAGCTCTCATCTTATGCGCCATGTGATCCTTGCCGAGTATGCCAACAGGATCTACGTTTTTTCTCGCCACTTAGTCAGATCACTAACAGGAAACCTAATCCCGGATCTGGATCACAATGCAATCGTTATTTATAACTACGGTAGTAAAAACGTGGGTATTATGAGACAGGTTCAAGATCTGTATATGAGAGCGCTCGAGTGCCTGGCTTTAATCTGCAGGAAAAAGACAACGGCATTTGTATTCTAAGACATCAATAAAAACATGCAACGTACGAGGTGGGATCAAGTGCTCTATGGTGCCTTGATTCCGCTACTGAATGTTAGAGCACTGGTGGATTTAATATGGTGAACCACTTTATTATGCCTAATGAGGCATTATAAAGGCTATAACGTCTATTACTAATGTCTGGTGATGAGGTCTCATGTGACAACCTAAATACAAGATTCGCTAGCTTGTAAGTGGCATATTAAAATAAAATAATAGCCCTGTTTGCTGGTCATCCCTCCAAAAAATGGTTGCTCGAATTTTTGCTTTTATTAGAATTTTGTTAATAATATATAAACTCATTTAGCTCCTCTGGTGACGTACATCAGAGGAGATTTTGCATTTGGATTTAGGTGAATGTGAGGAGGTAATGAATTCATTTAGTAGATACTAGTGTGTTAAAAGAGTCATCAAAAATTGCAGCGAAAATACGTAAAGAAGTTGAGTAACTGATGTTCTTATTTGCCTGTTGAAACAATCTTGTTCATCTCTTTAAAACTATTGCATCAAATCAAGATTAAATAATATGTATTGAAATAGTGTTAATTAAATCAATATTTTGCATTTAATGTTGTCACACGCATTAAATCCATTTATACCAAGAGGTTCTAAATAAAATCATTTTACTCCAAACGCGATGCAACGGCTAAAGATAATATATGCGTCATGAGTGAATAAAATTAATATTTTATCCCTATATGTTGGCTGTCATTAATGAAATAATTTTTCCAAAAAACAAGATGTCGTAAAATACGAAACTTTGAGTTTCATGTGTAAATTTTGTAATAATTGGAACTCGAAAAAGATCGTCATTAAATGTTTTGAATTTCTCGCTGGAGAAGAAGAAAAGAAAATTAGTTATCAAAATGCGATAATGAATGATATATTTACAACCTCGCACAGTGAGCGTAACTTGAAACTGCTTTCTCACCGATAAGAAAATATGGCAAAAAGGGAGTCGGTGTTGGTTGGGGCGGTATTACTGCGCGCCACCCTTTCCCTCATTTGTTTGGAGAGAAGCAGCTGCAGGGCCACGGCAATGTCCTCGACGTCAAGTCTACAACTACGTCTGCTCAGGCAACACAGTACAAACAACCGTCAAGTCTCGCGCTCAATCCTCTTATTCGGAACGTAAAGCGACGCTCACGCAGCAATAACTTTACAGGCCTTATACCTACATCGTCTATCATGTTCGCGCTCCTGCATGATACTTTCCTTAAGTAAAAAATACTTAGCTGCATGCCGTCTTGCGCTTTAATGGTTTAATGTTTTTCCGATTGCAGGTTGAAGATGGAATTATTAATTTTGATGCATTTTCTACGCAAGGCATCTCTCGGTCAGCCTGAGAATGGTATGTGCTTCAGACTTTCAATCCATTAATACACAACCAATCTTGTGAGATATTAAAACTAAGTTACTTCGAATCGAACACACACAATGACTCCCTATAGAACTCGTCAAAGTGATCCGGTGTAAATAATGTGAAAATCGTGGATTATTTAACAGAATTTCTGTCGCGGCAGTCTCTTATCATATTCTCATAGACGCTACAAGCCATGAGCCTAAGCAGGACGTGGCAGTCTCTTATCATATTCTCATGGACGCTACAAGCTATGAGCCTAAGCAGGACGTGGCAGTCTCTTATCATATTCTCATGGACGCTACAAGCTATGAGCCTAAGCAGGACGTGGCAGTCTCTTATCATATTCTCATGGACGCTACAAGCTATGAGCCTAAGCAGGACGTGGTAGTCTCGCATCATATTCTCATGGACGCTACAAGCCATGAGCCTAAGCAGGACGTGGCACTCTCTTATCATATTCTCATGGACGCTACAAGCCATGAGCCTATAAGCAGGACGTGGCAGTCTCACATCATATTCTCATGGACGCTACAAGCCTTGAGCCTAAGCAGGACGTGGCAGTCTCTCATCATATTCTCATGGACGCTACAAGCCATGAGCCTAAGCAGGACGTGGCAGTCTCTCGTCATATTTTCATGGACGCAGCAAGGCATGAGCGTAAGCTTGCATAATCTTTTACGGTGCTAGTTCTGATCCGTACTCGAGTGACGCTTAAAAAGTGACAAGGTCCGATAAACAAACAAGTTTGGTGTTTGAATGCCAGGCTAAATCCATTTGAAAGCGTGAGACTTACGAATCGGCCTCGTGTAGTAGTCTAAAATTTTGTTTTCATGTAATGAAGAGTTAAATTAGGTCTGCACTGGGCATGAAATTCGACTGCGTCAAATTTCAATAGAGCTAGAAATTTCCACGCCCAGCACTTATTGGCCCGACAGGATCGTAGCTAGATTTGATTTATAGTATTTTTCTTCACAATCACCATGACATTATTCGGTGAATTGTAAAATCGTAATCGGGAAAGCATTTGTGTTTTAATTCTGATAATCTCCATCTTACTGCATGCATTCACTTTCTAACGTTAGCTTTGCAGAATGACGAGCAAACAGCATTGTAATTCAAAATTGATTTTGTAGAAAATTATTTGGAGCCTTCGAGAGCTAGAATCGAGTTCAACAGCGGAGTGACTTGAACGTGATCTATGATTGGTGATTGAGAGGCAGGAGGCGGTAGAGCGTTAATGAGGTCTGGGGTGCCGGCCACTAATGGTCGTACGTACCACAAAACTGGCGGCTCTATATTTCAAAGCTTGCTGGCCCCTTTGTCCTTCGCGTGTCGACAATATCATTCATTTCATAGATGTCAGTATAATCTGGTTATAAAGTTCGATGTATTGCTCATGAGAGTAACTTCGGTTATCATGCAACGTTTAGTTTCTGTTTCTTGCTATTCTGTTCAATTCATTTGTGTTCCTATGTGCAATCTTGACGTAGAGATATTAATATTATTAATTCTTGTCTTAATATGTTGAGAATTAATCCCAATTACTCCAGTTAAAATATTTTGTGAATGTTCCCCTTAACAGTAAATATGAGTCATTCTAAGAAAGGTGAAACTATCCTTGATTTTCATGCAATTCACTGAGTCAGCGAGAAGGATTGCGGCGATGGGCGCATATATGTGTCCGGTCACACGCGTGGTGGTCTGGCAGTTTTATGTAGCGTGCGTCGCGCTGATGTTGAGGGGGTAAGTAACGCGATCAGGGCAGAGGCTGCGGCTCTTGTTTGTTCTGCTGATAAGAGTCTGAGAAGTGTCCTGATTTCAGAGACCCAAACTAGAGTGTCACTTGCTTGCTTTGCTGTTGTTATTATTTATCGTCAAGCTTTTTGACTTGGGGAAATGTATTCGAAAAACGCACGAGAAGTTGTGGGATAAATTTAAATTTGAACTGTGAATAGATTGAAATCAAACGTTTGTTATTTAAATCAATGAATTGGGCACTAAGTTTATACCTAGCTTGCATTGAGAGGAAATCGAGCAACACTGGACCATTAGAATCTTATGACTTTTGGCCCGAGTGACGCAGAAAGACCCTTGCATTTTGAAGCCGTTAGCACGTCCAGTTTCAGCAGAAAATGTGCGCCTAATTTCACTGTCGAACTCCACAGCACGAGCGCAGCTGCAGCGCAGGCAGCGACCCGGAACTGAGATGGTTTGCATTAGCATCGTTAACAAAAAATAATGAAAATAAGAAGTAAAACTCGCTGAATGGACAGACAAAACACGGTGTTGGGCGAAGACTAACGATCAAGATGGACGTAAAGTGCTCAATTAGAGCTGCAGCTATACAGGGAAACGATGTCATAAGACTACGGACGGATTTTTTATACCATGTTTCTCCTAATTGAATGTTAATAGACATTATTTTATCTTCAGATGAATAGGTGTTATCAGTGTAAAGATGATAAAGAGTTGAAACTATTTGTAATTTGAATTGATATAAGACACGTTACAGTGTTATGGTGTCAAAATTTGAAACTTTAACCCTTAAGAAATCCATGTATGTCTGTCATTTGTTAAGACAGGTCACCCCTGGAGTGAGGGTAGGAGTGAGGGTAGGAGTGAGGGTAGGAGTGGGATGAGGGTAGGAGTGAGGGTAGGAGTGAGGGTAGGAGTGAGGGTAGGAGTGAGGGTAGGAGTGAGGGTAGGAGTGGGAAGGAAAGTTATGGAGCCACAATATGCAAGGTTGCGTTGTTGTTTCACCAAACACGAGTTGTTAGGTCTTGTCCCTTCCCCTATTCGCTCATGAAGCTTAATTTCGTTTTCAATAATTCATGTTGAGGCCGTGAGAAAGCTTGTAGAAGTAAATTAAGTGAAAGCAGAAAATGGATTTAAGTTGCGCAAAATTACCAGTAAATGGTTATTCAGTGAAATGCAACGCAATGAGCAACTTTATATGATGCTGCATTGAATCATATGAAGCTAATGTTATCGTAAATTGATTTCAAAAAAGAGCGCAGCTGCAGTAAATTTTAAGATATTTCAGGCAAAGTGCGTGTGAAAAATTAGATTCCGGATTAAATTTCAGTTCATTGAATGTAAAGAGAATGGCTCTCTATTCGGAGTATTGTTCAAAATGAAAAATCACCGACGATTTTTGTAACGGTTTTTGAAAACAAAAAATGAATAATTGAACACGATGTTGAAGGTAATCTGTCAGTGAGAATAGAAAAGATTATAATCGAAAGGAAAACAGGATAAATATTTAACGTACCAAATTGATGAACAATCTATAGGACGAGTTCATCATCGTCTCTGATCCTACGAAAAGGGTCCAAGTTTTATGTACACGGGGGAAGTAGCGGCACAAGTTAAAATATTTACATTGTATTTATTAACCGGCAAGAATGACATCGCGAGCAATATGCTTCAAGGCTAGAAAAATTCAATCAGGCTTTTGCGGTTTTCTTGCGACTTCAGTTGGGAACCCAACTACAAGATATTTCTGTGAAATAGCTCGTAAAATTAAATTAAATTTTGAGTTTTCGTTCAATTTATGACCAAAAAATAATAATGAGAAAAATGTACAAGGATCAGCATCAGTATCACTTCATACAGATTGGCTTAATAAACAAAAAAATTTTTCAGCAAATCTTGTTAAAATTATTCAGGATATTATCGATACTCTTGAAATAATCCGTACATTCCATTCAATGTCAAGTGAGTTTCCAGCCATGATATACTTGCTAGGCTAGGCTCACTAAATTACACGAAACTTAAAAAAATAATAAAATAAAAATGCATTAATTTCCAGGCGAGAGCGGCGCATCGACGCTTGACTTGCTGGGCAAGTCGCGCAAGGAGCGCACGGCGTTCACTAAGCAGCAGATCAGGCAGCTCGAGGACGAGTTCCAGCACTCAAACTACCTCACCAGACTCAGGCGCTACGAGATCGCCGTAGCTCTCGATCTCACCGAGCGCCAGGTCCGTTCTAATGAGATATCTTCTGGTGTTTGTAGTTTAATATTAATTTTAATTAAGCACGAGTTCCAGCACTCGAACTACCTCACCAGACTCAGGCGCTACGAGATCGCCGTAGCTCTCGACCTCACCGAGCGTCAGGTCCGTTCTAAGGAGATATCTTCTGGTGCTTGTGGTTTGATATTAATTCTAATTATTATTAGAATAATAATATTCTAATGGTAATTAATAAACATTAATTAATATTAGATTTTCATTTCATAAAAAATGTTGCTTAAAATTTGTATCACAGACGCTATAGGATTGACACAAGGAGACATAATTTTTTGAAGACTTTTTTATTATTTTTCCAAGAGATTATAGTGTCGTATGGTACAATCAGCATTCTAAGTGCACGTTGCATATTGAAAAACTAAGACATCAATATTTTTTACGCCAATATTGATGCTATACTATCGAGAAATATAATTATGGAGATCAATATAATATATTATATAATTATGGAGATCAATTGCATGCTCCATTTTTTAGATATGCGTTAAGAATAACATCGATTAGCTGCAAAATCTTATTTACTGATAATGCTATCATGTTTAATTCTAACAAGTCATGGCTAAGTTGATGTCAAGTGCTTCGGTTATTATATTTCCATCATTAATTGCCTCATAGTCAACAGACATGATCATTGAAACAAGATGAATAACACTGCCAGTCAATAGCGATCAATGTTTTCTGCGTGAGCTGTTTTCCCATAAAATAATCATCCTTTTAAGCGTTCTGCTCATTGGGCTTTAAGAATTCTGGTAAATTCCAAACCGAAAAATTTATATTTATTTATATTACATATAATTACTATAATTTTAATCTGCTATTGATCCTAAATTGAATAAAAACAATGAGATGCAAAATAATTTGTATTCTACTGATGCGAGATGACGTTTACGGATGGCATCCCTACTTTGCAACACCTATTTTTTAGTTACCCCGACAAATCAACTCAGAAAGCATATATTTATTTTATAATCTCAATTACTTACATTATTTGGTCTGTCTTCTAATCTTCAGGTGAAAGTTTGGTTCCAAAATCGTCGCATGAAATGGAAGAGAACAAAAAGTGGGCAACTTGCAATGAAGCGGCAAAAGGAGCTCGAGGAACAACAGAGAAAAGAAATGGAACAACATGAGACGGATGAACAGATGATTATTGCTCCAGATGAAGCGCACCCAGATTATCAAAATATGTCAACAAGTTTTGAGCAAAACGAGAAAAATAAAAGCTTGGATACATCGACGGCTTTGGAACTTGAAACAATCCAGTGCGACTTAAACAAGTCCGAAACTCGTTTCCCGTCAAGCGCTGAATCAGAAATACCTGTAGAGACTAGCGATTGTTTTCAAGCTTCTGTAGATACGTTAATGGAACGTCCAGGGATAATCTCGAACAAATTGAAACCTTACGACAATCAAAACCTAAGCGAGGTTCCGATTACCGAAAAAAATTCTGGGGAAATGGCCGGACTTCAAGAGTGTGGTCGCAAAGTCTTCCAAGATTTTGACATTGAATGTTTTCATAGAACAGGAAAAGTTCTAAATAATTTTGAGCATTTTTCATATTCAATGTTTGGTAAAGACGAGACAAGTGGATGCGTGCAGTCGGTGGACCAATTCGAAACATCAGAAGAGAAGAGCGATCATCTTCCCTTTAATTCCTCCACAGAATGTTTGCCTGCACTTGGGGATGACGTTAATTTGGTCGCGTCTTCACAAGGACGTGTTATACACGAGGCTCACGAAGAGGAATTCTTAGACAGAATATTGACGGGCTCGACTACAAACTGTTACTCCTGTTAATTACAGGAAATGTATTCATTTAGATGTAATGACGAGTTACAACCTTGCCCCCTCAACATTTATGATGTTGAATTACTTCATTTATGTGGATTCTGTGCTGGAGATATTAGAATAAACAGTTGATAGATACCAGTTTTTAACAAGATTTTAAGTTTATTCACAGATTACCATTTTTATCTTTCTTAAAATAAATTCAATTCGGACCAATTAAATCGATCAATTCATATTTTTGCTGATGAACAGAATTTGCTTCTCATTCTATACCACTTATTTCATGCTTGTCATTCTATGTCTTTCATTCCATGCCTTTCAAATAATGCCTATAATTTCTCGCGTAGGCCTAGCATTACATTCCGATCATTCCATGTCTCTAAATTTATGCCTCTTAAATAATGCCTATCATTTCTTGCCTTTCATTCCATGTATGTCATTCTATGCCTCTCATTTCATGCCCCTTAAAGAAGGCCTATAATTTCTTACCTTTCAATCCATGTCTCTAATTTCATGTCGTCGCTGCTGTCCTAATAAAATGCCAGTGCTATTAGTCACGAAGGTCCCACTTTTGAACGGAGTTTCCTGATAAATTTTATTTATATATATGAAGAATTACCAACTTATTGTAAAATAACACTGATAACTGAGTTAATTCAATAATTATTCTAATAAAGTTTTTAGAAGACAATTAAACATTGTTTAAAGTTTCGCTTAGTTACAATGATCCTAAATTGTGATGGAGGGTCGCTTGTTAACTCATCTTATTAATTTGTTAGGAGTTTCTCACTGAGCGTTGAATTTTTTTTTACCAACAGTCAGACATTAATCGCCCATAATTTAGATAAGATTTGGATTAGATTGGGGACGTCTGTTTAAAAATGTAATGTTCATTACATATTCTAGACCATATTAAATAAGTTTTATAATATTTAATTGAATTACTTTGTTCATGAGGTTTCTCATTTAGCACCTAAACGAGAACAGCAAAAATAAGACGGTTATTGATTTGTGCAATTTAAACGTCTACGGTTATTGATGAACACATAAGTCAAGCAGTAGACATGTCGCTCATTATGTGCCATGATCATCAAAATACCATCATGATCAATTAAATTCTAAACATTATATACCATGTTCTCTAAGATATGAGCAAAAGCTACCATGTAATCTGAATCTTGTACTATGTACATTGCGATACCGCTATGAGCTAATGTATACAAAAAGTTTATATCACGGTGGCGAGTCTAAAAAGCCTTCGTTTGCACTCTGAAGTCTCATGTAAGTAGCTCAAGTGTGGCGGCGATGTCAGCCTCAGCGTCTGCTACTTATTAAGTAGCCAAGCTGCTGGTCGCTTAATGACCAAACTGACATTCTTGACCAGATTGGAGATCGTAAACGGAATGCAGTTTGTAGCCTTTGTGATAAAAAATATCTTAATTTTTGCATGTTTTTTTTATTCCCCTTCTTTCAAAATTCTTGATAAAACATTTTTTGAAGGGGTTACTTCATACTGGATCAACTGTGGCTTCTTTCTTCGCCAAATCGCGACGTGCGACAAATTAATGTTAATTTCCCTGCTAATCGAACATTCTATACGTCAGCCCACTGCTTCGCGAAAACACTGTTTATTATTGCTGTATAGTTTGGCTGTAGTCTTGTCCAATGACCACATCAATGGTCACTAGATGGTTAGTGGCGAGCGTCTGCACTGCGGTGATCTTAAACTGTTGTAGTAATGCAATGTTTGATTAGTGTTTGTTATCGTTGCTCACTGTTGTCATGATGTCAATGCTTGTTATCGTTGCTCACTGCCGTCACGATATCAATGCTTGTTATCGTTGCTCACTGCCGTCACGATATCAATGCTTGTTATCGTTGCTCACTGCCGTCACGATATCAATGCTTGTTATCGTTGCTCACTGCCGTCACGATATCAATGCTTGTTATCGTTGCTCACTG